TACTGACATTACGACGAGTGCTGAGGAATGTAAAAGGAGTTTGATAGGGAAGATAATTGGCAATAGAAGAGCATCGCTGCTGGGGCTGAAAAGAACTATGGCGAGCATTTGGAGAACTCAACAAGGGATGGAGGTTCGTGAGATAAGCTTTAATTACTTTTAATTCATATTTCAGAATCGGAGCGACTTGAAGAAAGTGTTACTGGGAACAAACTGGATTTTCGAGAACCAGTATCTAGTACTGCAGGAATGGAGGAAAGGAATTAAAGAAACTGATAGTGAGTTTGATGAAGTCTATCTATGGGTTCGTGTGTACAATCTTCCCCTGGAATGGTTGAGTGTGGAAGTTGGTGTGAAGGTGGGAAGAGTGTTCAAGAAAGTTAAAAATGTGACGATCACAACGACTTTAGGTGCAGGAGGCAGAATCGATCAATTATTAGCTGCAGTGGATGTAACCAGAGCTATACCTCGGTGTACCACATTAAGATTGGGAGATCAGAAAGTCACAGTGAGCTTTAGATATGAAAGGTTGGTGAACCTTTGCTACTACTGTGGGTACTTAAGGCATCTTGATCGAGATTGCATATGTAAAGAAACAGACATTGAGAAGGGGGAAATCAAGGTGGGGCAGTATGGGGACTGGATTAAGGCATGAGAGATTAAATCCTTTAATAATTCTGGGCAGTCAAGCCAGTCAGCAGATAAAGAACCAGAAAATTCAGAAGACCAAAGGAATGTACAAGGAAATCTGGGTAGGACTAGTTCTACTCAACATGATTTGGTGGAGTTCAAAGGAGAAGAAGTAAGACCAGGGACAGCTAATTTAATCAAGAACCTCAGCATGGTGGAGTCCAGCTCTTCAAGGAAAGACATAGACAACCCACATGGAGTAGCAAGGGCAGGTAGAGATGTGGTCAGAAGAGGGGAACACATGGTAGAGGATCAAATTGCTGTGAGAGAGCAGGTGCACATATCCACAGAGGAGATGGTTGATGTTACTGATGAGGCTAAAAAACAAATCATCGTGATGGACTCAGAGATAGTCCCAGCTCCAGAACAACACCTAGTTGTTCAGAAAACTTGGAAGAGGTTGCGTAACAAAGAAGGCAGGCTCTTGAGAGAAAAGAAGGAGATCAGTGGGATCCAACTGCAAGGAATGAAGAGAGGAAGACAGGGTGGTACTAAGCTAATCACAATGGATGAGGAACGAGGGAGGGATGAAGGTGAACTAAAGAAAGCCAGAAATAGTCCAAATAAGGTGGAGAAGGCCAGTCTCAAATGGCCCCAGAGTGATCAATGAGAGCTCTGGTGTGGAATTGTAGAGGTCTGGGTGGGGCCTCTACAATTTCCCAAATCAAGGAGTCCATTAGGACCCATCACCCACATTTTACTTTTCTATCAGAAACAAAAAATTCAAATATGTTCTCAATGACTGTTTGTAAGAAGTTGGGGTTTGCTAGTAGAAATGTTATGGTAGCACC